ACTATGATATTAATTTTAAATTCATGGAGCTCTACTGAAACCAATCCATTAATACATCTGACCCAAACAAATAGTTATGCGATATACAATTTTGAGTTTCCATCTATCACAGTTTGTGACAATAACAAAATTAGCAAGAAGAGAACTGTATTAACAGCTAATAAGTTGTAAGTATTGTAAAGTTTGTTTTAATTTATTTAACACTGACACGAAAAACACAATTACTTTATAACACTTATTTACTTAACGATACAAATTTATATTATCGACTAAATCTCTAGAATTGTAAACGCGCTTATATATGGTACGCCTTATATGGAAGCGTAGCAACGCTTTTTCTTTTTTTAGTGCCTATTTGTTTAGAATACATAGATTACATTCCCAGAAACAATTGTCTATTTACTTTTAAGTATTTACTAATGTTTTTCATTCTTTCAGGGTGTCCTCAGGAGCGATCATTAACGCACCAATCAGCGTACGAGGAACATGGGAAAAATTGTTTATTGGTTTTAATAAGGGTTATTCCAACTTTTGAGCAATTTAAAATTTCCCATTGGCCGATTCTACGCGAAGTCCACTTTCCTACGTCATAATCCCTCCGAACAAAGGATTTTCGGATACAAAAGAAGGTGGATTTTCTGTAGTCGGCCTAAGAAGCTCAGAGTGGAAGCTCAGAAGTCTACGTAGTGAACGGTCGTTTCTGTTTTAGGTCTCGTGTCGCACCTACAGCATTGGGTCAGTAGAACAGCCATAGGCATTGTTCATTGTGCTGACTGCTTGGGCGACACTGTCTAAAGATAAGAGGCGATTAGATAAGCGAATACAAGAAGACAAAGAAGACAAAGAAAACAAAGGAACAAAGGATCCATCCATTGTTTGTTCCAACGGAAAAAAGCCACGAGCGGCTTACATTGATTACAGTGCTCCTATTGTGTTGGTTAGGTGCTCCCGTCTGTTGTTTCGGAGATTCTGCTGATCACGGTGAGGGCTTAGTGGATGGTCCGTAAGAAAGCCATCCACGTACGCCGTAGCTGGGGCGTTCAGCTTCCGTTAGAGCGATAGGACGCCTAGGTCCAGCATAGTAGCGGTGTTGTAGTTAATTGATGATCGAAGAAAGAAGGAAGTGTTGTGTTTGTTCGTGATAGTGTGGAGTTTCATCGGGGTCAGTACGTCAATTACTTTCATACTTTGGTTTTCTAGTAGTTCTGGTGTATGCTTAGTGGGTGATTGCCGTAAGAAAAGGCCACCTACGGACGCAGTTGCTGGTTCTACTAGTTTATTAATTAAGAGTTGCCTAACTGACTCTGTGTTAACACTCTGCGTTTGAGCGACAAACTGACACCTACAGAAATTCCTACAGTTGTTAATTGTATAATTAATAACTGTTGGGAAAAAAGTTGGTGTTACAAATTAATAAACATACAAAAACAACTAATATCCATATAGAAGTGCATCGAGGGACCGACAGCTTTTATAAGAATTTGTATAGTCCGGCTATCCGCCATCCTTTACATTGCACCGCGTATTGGAAAAGAATGTCATCTAGGTTCGTCCTAGCTATCCACTGACGTAATGCCTCGATCGACCCGTTCCAACAGGTCAAAAACGCGTCCTGCAGAACCTCCTGACCCTCCTTCTATACCAAATCAACTAAATAACTCACAATCATATATCGAATATGCAGCGCTACCACTTAATACCAACCCTTCACTACCAACTCAAAGAGCCTTACAAAATCCTGTTTCTCCTCTACCTATTTCACCTGTAAACACACACATCTTACCTACACCAACTGTATACAACGTACCAACCATCCACATACCTCAACCTACCACTACCACTCCTAGGATGGACGCCGCTACTGACAGTTTCGTCCAGGATTTGGTAACCACCCTACCCGTAGACCAAATTGACCGGTTGATGGCGCAATTGCAGCTCTCCTGGTCCTCCGTTATCGCTAATCCTCAATCATCTCCGACCAATACCCTAGCCACCCAACAGCAACAAACCTTCACCACACATACTACTCATATACAACCATCCTCACAAATTAATACACATATACCTACGCAAAATCCACCTCAAAACCCACCTCAAAACCACACATATGCTACCACACCCCTAGACCTCAACCCCCTCATCCTAATCATATCCCTGCTCCCGCTCAGCAACCCAAATTCTTTAATTACCTTATCACCAACATTCCTCTTTAAAAATCCACTCAAAGGGATTTTTTCAGAATTATCAACACCACTCTGAGCTTCTTAGGCCGACTAGAGAAAATCCACCTTCTTTTATATCCGAAAATCCTTTGTTCGGAGGAATTATGACGTAGGAAAGTGGACTTCCCGTAGAATCGGCCAATGGGAAATTTTAAATTGCTCACAAGTTGGAATAACCCTTATTCCAACCAATGAACAATTTTTCCCATGTTCCTCGTACGCTGATTGGTGCGTTAATGATCGCTTCTGAGGACACCCTCAAGGACTGAAAAACATTAGTAAATACTTAAAAGTAAATAGACAATTGTTTCCGGGTATGTGTAGATATAATATTTTAAAATCCCTTGTTTTTGTTTCGCTGGAAAGACCAAAAGCCCCCAGGTACCTAGTTATTATATTTAGAAAGTAAGTCACAAAAAACCGTTGTCATTTTCAAAGAAAGTTGTTTACAAGCGATGCTTGGGTTTTTCTGATATAAATTAAGAGGCGGGGTATAGAAATTTTCTGATTGGTAAGCGAGTTTGGAATGGGAAAAGAGAGTGAATGTTTTTAAAGTTTGGAGTAAAAAAGATTATTATGTGATGGTCATCGGATAGAGGCAGTTTGAAGTTTTGTGTAGTCAGTTTAAAAGCAAGTGCCAGTAGTTTAATAATTAGAAGTGAGTGGCTGAAAGGTGGAACGAGAGATAAAACAAAGCTGAGAAGTTGAGTACCTCCTGGATTGTATAAAGTCCAAGTGAGAGATTGTTAGTATATGAAAGAGAGGAAAGAATTTTGGAATTTGTTGAACGAGTACTGGTAAAAGAGACCTGCTCGTGTTTTTGGAGAAAGAGTTGCTGGTATGCTGATAGGTCGACACTTCGAACGGAGAAGGCTTCGATTGGTAGCCTAACATAATTAACAAGGGGCAGCTTTTCTGGTCGAAAGAGGACATCGTCGTGTGTGAGTTAAAAGGTCAGTCAATAATTTTTATGAGAGAAATTTTTTTTGTATGTTTCAAATGAAAGACTCTAGACCCTAAATTACTATGGTCTAAACATGGTCCAATATGTAAAAAAAAGATGTGAGAAAGGCATCAATTTCCTTAAATGTGTCACTTGCAGGAAATGGGGTGCTGATCCCGAAGTTGCATTTTACAGGACCTACGTGCGATCAATTTTGGATTACGGATGTTTGTTATACGGATCAGCAAGCAAAAAAAAAAATTTACTAAAAATAGATCGTATTCAGTTTAAAAGTTTAAGATTACCTTTGGGTGCTATGAAATCAACACCATGCCCCCTGTTACTTGCCGAAAGTATTGAAATGCCATTAGAAAATCGTAGAAATTTATTAGCAACAAAATATGTATTAAAATTAAGGCTAGGACAAGTGGCCTACTAAGTATGCTGTATGAATTATCCATACAAAATCTAGTAAACAATTTTAGGAGAATAAAAAATTCACCACCATTAGCAGATGCCTTTCTGGAAACCAATTATTTACCGGTTACACTTTCAACAAATTTTATTAAACCATCCTATAAATTAGAATTTAATACAATCTTCAAAAAATTAAATATTGTATTTCCGAAATATTCAGATTCACATCAAATAAATAACAAACTGTTGAACTCCCTAACAGAATTACCACACATATTCCATTATTATATATCTAAACGATCAGCAGTAACTATCACAAGATTAAAAACTAGTCACGGTGCTGTTCGTGCTCACCTGCCTAGATTAAACATTATAGAATCAGGAAAGTGTTTATGCGATAATATTTCCCAGTGTGATGTTAATCACATCCTATTTGGATGTATTAAAAATAAAGCACTCTCATCTACGTTTTATGAAAACCTGGTTAAAAGTAATGTGCAACTTCCAGTAAACACAACATGCCAAACACACTATCATCATCATCATCATCACATATTGTCTTCTTTCTTCAAGATATGGTAAACAGGTCATATATCCCTCCAATTTGAGCCGCAGTTAATTCAATTGGATTTAACTCGCAATGGTAAGGTAGTAGTCTCAAAACAGAAATACCATGAAGTCTAGCCATTAAATTAATAGCATATTACGATATCTACCAAAATGAGTATTTGAGAATATTCTCGAATCACTTCTTGAAATATATAGAATTTATGTGTTCATGATAGTCCCCTGTTTTCTTCGATATAAAAACAAAAGCACCATTTTTAGAAAACCAGTATCTCTCCTTTTACTTTTGCTTGTTTACGAGAATGTATGTGATGGTTAGCATTAATGGCAGTAAACTTGCTTGCCCGACACAAAAATTGCAGTTTCAGGTTAGTTTAGGTTTTCTGTTGATTATCTGAATCCTCCTTATACTTAATCTCGTTAACCTCGTTTAAGTATCAATAATGTATCGCTTAGTATCTTCGTACTATTATTATTTTATTACTGTTCTATATGAAATCTTTGGTAATACAGTTTCTAAAAAACAGCAAAACCGATACAAACTTTATATCAGAAGTGTTTAGACTAAGAAAAGCATAAATTTAAAAAAAAAACTATTCTTAAAAAAAATCTGAACAAAGAAAGACAAACAAATGTTATTAAAACTTTTATTTTCCTTTTAGAACTAAAACTAATATTTCAGAACTAATAGAAGACTTAAGATACATGTATTTTTTCATAAAATATAAAACACCGACAGACGAAGACATGCAGCGATACACTCGTCTCCAGAAAATATTCGACAAGAAAAAAATTACAGCCGAAGAAGTTTTAAGAAAGTTGTCTCCCACTTGTGAGATGATGTTTACGAAATGTTTGTGGAAGGGACTACCTGTGAAATGTTCCAACCTATTTCAACAAACGAAAACATCGGAAGGATTATGTTGTACATTCAATGCATATGTGTTCAAAAATACTTCAATTTACGAGTAAGTAAAACATTTATACAATATAATGTTATATAAGGATCATAATTTTACTATAGATTATATATATATATATATATATATAATATATATATATATATATATATATATATATATTATATATATATATATATATATATATATATATATTATATATATATATATATAATATGTTCGGAAAGATTTCCGCGATTAGTACAATGAAACCTAGAGCTAAGATTAATACTATTACAAAAATTAATATTTAACTCACCAGTCTTCCGGGTTGAACCGCGTCGATATCCATTTTGCCGAGCTTTCGACATCCTCTCTGATATCTTCCTTAGGGCTTCCGAGGTCTCAGTCTCCCGAGCCCCCAGACACTACTACACTGTTCACTGATCACTGCGCTGTCACTACAGTAGTAGTCTTTACTCAGAAGTATTCAAAGTAGGCACATTTATGTTATACTTTTATCTTATATTTTTTTATGTTATATTTTTAAATAACATACCTTTATTAACAAGTACTGTAGATCAGGAGATCTATTTAACCTTTCGCTACCGAAGGGTCAAGTTGTTTTGTAGTTGACGGAGGGGGTACATTATGTAACCCATGCATTTTTATAGATTGTTAACTTAATGCAATAATTTTAGTTAAAACATAATTAAAACAAATGCAAGTATTTTTTATTGAATATAAGTAACAATAAAAAGATATATGGTGTCTTGAAAAAATTAATTATCGTTTTTTTGATTAGCTTTACATTTTGTACATATTATTGTTTGAATTGTTGTGATTGTTTGATGTTCAGCATAAACAAAGAATTTACAAGAATTGCACGTTTTTCTGCTTCTGCGGTTCTTCTTGCGTGGACAAAGTAAACATCGCCCTGAGGATTTCAAGATGGTGGCGTCGTTTTCGCGATTCTCCCTTGGTGGCGGTGGGCATAATTCGTACATGGCGTTTATAATTCGCTTATGGAATTTTTGTGGACTTTGTAGTCGCCTATCGACATGGGGCTTTATAAGTTCTTGACTCAGGTTTAGTAAAATTTCTCTTTGTCTGTGAGAAGCTTTATACGCACGAATGGAATTTTTTGTCGTCCACAGTACGTATGCATTCAGACCTGCAATGTCTAGAAGATTTTGAAACAAAACAAATGGCCATCTCTTAGAGGCTCTTTTACAAGAATATTCATTTACCATCTTATCCATAGTATCTACGGCACCTTTTCTAGAATTGTAATGCACGATTATGTCTGGCTTATAGTCCGTCTCTTCTCCGCTAATTTTATTGTCGTTATGTTCTGTACTCAATAAAATTACTGCCTTATTCTTATTAGGAACGTAAGACGCCAGTGTTATTTCCTCAGTGAAGGCAAAAACTGAGGACTTTTCTTGTCTAGAAATATTGGGTAGTAGGGCTGGAAGTATATCCTGCTTGTTTTTTCGAAGTGTTCCACATAATGTTATTTGTCGATCTAGGAGTTGTTTTGCTAAGGGAACACTGGTAAAGAAATTATCAGTAGTGATGCCATAATCAGTTTTTAGAAATGAGACCAAATCAAGTACTACTCTTTTGCCCTGGTCTTTTTCTGGTTTGTTACCATCTTTTCCAGTATAAATCTGAAGGTTAGCAGCATAGGTGATTATTGCATCAACTAGAGCCCATATTTTGATGTCATACTTGGCTGGTTTTGATTTCATGTAGACTCTAAATGGTCACTTACCTCTAGAACTTACAAGTTGTTTATCAACAGTTAGATGAGAGTGGCACTTAAAACTTTCTTTCAGTGTTCTACAAACTTTGTAAACACTTCCCTAAAAGCTGCTAATATGTCAGAACTTCTACGTTCTTCTCTAGTGTTCAAAGCATCGAATCGCATATCTAGAAATCGGTCGCGTGACATGGCAGCCGGAAAAATAGATCGACTGTACAAAGGGTTTCGACACCACAAAAAGTGCACTGGTTTCCTATTGGCTTTTAGCGCACCCGCCGTAATCAAGTCCGCATAAGTTTCCACTGAATCAGTGGACAACCAGGTTCTTGTTTTATTAGGATTTTTCCCATTCCAATCCTGAAAGTATTTCTCCGCTTTCTGGTTTGTACATTTGACGATGATTTTTACAATTTTCTCATCTACAAATAATTTGAAGCAATCACTAATTTTAGCGACATTTTTAGATTTTTCTGTAAGCCCTGGTTTTTCGAGCAAGTTTTTTGTGCGATATCTAGTTCTAGTCTAGAATCTACTGCCCCCAAAACTGGTTTATCAGAATCATTACTGTCGCTCTCAGTTGTCTAAAATATAATAAACTCAAGATAGAAATATCGTACATAAAACAAAAATAAAAATTACCTGCAGAATTTGAGACTCCTATTCCACTACTTCTAAATTATCATCTAATTCTGAATCATCCGATAAACTATCTCTTTCAAAAAGGTAATCATCATCACTTTCCTCTAACCACTGCACTGCAGTTTCACGATCCTCTTCTTTCCGAAGGTCTAACTTTATTTTTTTCGACATATCGGTAAATCGTGTAATCATAAATGGATAAACTAAAACGGTATGTTAGCAAGTCATCCACAGAACCATGGCCTGGAATCTTATATTAATAACCTTGAACATTTCCCCCATCACTTTGACTCCAGTCGGTTAATAAAGAGAGATGACAGCCTATCTCGCTCACGAAGACTTTAACCAATCATTTTATTTTAACACCATCTCTGAATGTCACAAATAAAATAATCAAACGAAGCTTAATTCCGCCATGTCAATTCCGTCAAAAGTAATGACAAGTTGATGATTGATATTTGTATATTTTCGACTTTCGTCCATTTTCGTCTTCCACGTGCTTTGGCTTGTTTACAGTTTTCATTTTTAATTTAATTATCTTTAACTTTCGTTTGTACTTAGTCTTAGTAATTTAAGTTGGTTCCTTAATTTTTAAAGTTTAGTTAGTTGATACCTTAGTTTTCATTTTTAATTTAATTATCTTTAACTTTCGTTTGTAATTTAATCTTGGTAATTTTAATTTAAGTTGGTTCCTTAGTTTTTAAAGTTCGGTTAGTTGATTCTTAAGTTTTTTCAGTTTAGTTTTATTTGATTCCTTAGTTTTTAAAGTTTAGTTATAGTTCCTATAAATAAAGATTTTCGTCTCCCTACAAAACTTGTGAAAAAGCAGATAGGTATTGTCACATCACTCACGATATGTGAGATTATTCCATTGGAAAATAATAAAATATTTTGAATTTCCCACTAAATTTTAATAAGTATCGAAATGACCCACCAGAGGCGCTAAAGGGAAAAAATTAATACTTAACCATTTGAATTTCCCGCCAAATGGTGATTAGTATTGACTCCGCCCACCAGTGGTGCTAACATCGAGCAATAAGACAAAAGAGGGAATCTAATCCTTATGAAAAGGAGACCAAAAAAGTGGAATCTGATGGCGGACATATCCGGAAATGAGAATGCGCCACATTTAAATTTTCCGACACTTATCAACAGTAGCTTTCAGAATGTGTCTTAGACGAGAAAGTTTTAATTAATTATTAATGATAAGAGTCTAAAATGCGACACAATTGTTAAAAAAACTTCAATATAAATAAGATTTCATGTGACATTTGTGACAAACAATAACATAACCCAACTAAATTTGATTTCAAACAAGGATAAAGACTCTCTTTCCTTGTTTAATGTGGCCTCTAAAGATCGCACTTCCTGTCTAACAATATTTTTGCCCCCACTACCTTTACATTCCCTCTATTGTCTTTTTGCTGGATGGGTGCTAATAAACCAAATTTATATATAGAGTTGCCTATCTATCTGTATATACTATATTATTTATCTATGCACAGAACTGATTTGTGTGTTATTGCAAACAACAGGTTTGGTGCCGTGCGCAAAACGTCTGGTTTAGTCAGTGGCGTCGACCGGAATGAACTGTACTGCGGTTGACGGAGGGGGTACAACTTGTACCCCAAGCACAGTGCTGCACTTTTCATAGGTAAAAATAACTAAAAGTAACTAAAACAGTTAAACAAAATTCCAACATTTTTAAAAATTATTCATGAAAAATCGAATTTTGGGGTACAATCTCTACCCCCCTCCGGTAGCGGAAGGTTAAAAAAGTTTTATTTCATCAGGATGTAAAATTTTAGATTTTTTGTTTTTAAAACCTTCTGATTCCCTTTTTAGATAAGCTCGCAATTTCGGTTAATTTTCAATATTACCATTACTTTTCTAAGTTATTCACTTCTTAGCATAGAATATATTGCCCATAATGAGAATGGTTTAAATTTCTTAGCGATTTCTCCTTTCTTTAAATTTCTTAGCGATTTTCTCCTATACCTTTTTATATTTTCCTCTATATTTTTCTGGTAATAGGTTCTTGGTAGTGTTCGCACCTAACTGCATAATGTTGGGTGGTGTGCTACTAAATTCTTCTTCACTAATCGATGAACTCATTTTATTTATCTGTATTTAAATTACCACTATATTTACACTAACAGATTAATAATTTTTAATCTGTCAAAATAACGTCTGTTAATTCATTACCATGGTACCTCGACCAACTGACTTACAAGGCGTATGTGATATTACACATTTTTATAGAACTGAAGCGTAATTACTTGCTGGGTTAGATTTTTTACTATAATAAATACCTATATTTTCAGAAGGACAGCACACAAATATTCTGCAACGCCTCAGAGGCTATCAACTTGTGGCTATCAAACTGGTTTAATAACTCTTATTAACAACGAGGTTGATGATTATTATGCAGCCTATGTTCCTTCGGTTGGACATAGGGTAAGTATATCCAAAATAAATTTAAAAAAAAATGATTTCACGACATCGTGTGGACATTTTGGTGGATTTTAGTTTTTTTATACGGTTTCGTTATATAAAATTTAAAAAAAATTGTTTGGGAATATTTTAGAATATACAAAATATTTACTTAAGTTTACTGTAAAAAACACAATAGCAAATTATTCGGTTTTAAACATTATATTTATATGATAAAGTGAAATCTGAGAATTTAGCCACCTTTATACATTACCACCTATCGATGTTATAAATTTACAGCTGGTTTTACAACACTCAAATTTCTACAAAATACAATGAGTTTGCAATTGAAGCTACAATAGTATAATCTCGAGAAATGGTACAATGGGATTAAACACATTAAATCAAATTTTCGTTTATTTACAAACAGATTAAAACCATTACATATATAAAATGTACTTGAAGTTTTAACTCAGCGACATGAGTTGTCAGATGCCTAAAGAACAACTATCAATGAGTGCTAAATTAACTTAATTTCTGAAAGATTTGGATAGATGCAAATATTGTGAAATTCCTGTAAGTACAGCAGGAAGTATCAAGTGACTCAACTTTAGCAACTACAAAGCGTAAACTTAAAGGATAAGAAATCTTATAAAAAACAACCAGTTATAATAACTACATAGATTTCATACAGACAAAAGTTTAATGAAGATTTGTACAAAGCTTCTGTTAGTGGTGAAATTTCGCTAAACATATTAACTAACCCCATGCTAAAAAGATTTTTTTTTAAATTATTAAAAATATCATTAATTGCACATAAGTCAACAATAAGAAAAAACTATGTTTCCAATTTATATGGTTCTATACTACACGAACTGTTAAAGCTAAGCCGAAAACGGAGGTAACTGGCATTGTTAGATAAAACTACTGACGTAGAATGTTACATGTTACTTGTTTCGCTCATGGTCTTCGTCGTCCTACAGGAGAAGTTTATGTCCACAAGTGAAAGCATTAATATCATCAATGAAGAATTTGGCGCAATGGCCGAAAAGGTTCCACTACCTCTTCTTCTTCTTTAAGTGCCGTCTCCCAATCGGAGATTGGATATCATCATCACTATCTTTACTTTATCTACTGCTGCTTTGAAGAGTTCTATAAACCAGTACCTTAAATTCTCCAACCATGATACTCTCCTTTTTTCTATACTCCTTTCTCCTCTTATCTTTCCCTGTATTATCAGCCTTAGTAGTTCATATTGCTGTCCCCTCAGTACGTGTCCCAGATACTGCAACTTTTTTTATTTTTATTGTTTAAAAATTCGTATTTGCCCATTTCTCGCAATACTTTCGTGGTAGTTTTCTCTATAATTTTGACAGAGAACTACGAACACACTGTGGTCGTTAGTTCTCTGATTTTGATTTCGTTTGTGAAATCTTTAATTTTTTTTATGTCACCATTTTTTAAAACGAAGAAAAAATTGGTTTAAAGAACTGTAATCAGATTCAAGATCACAATTGTCAATGTAAATTCATATATCGTCAGCATATTCTAGTACCTTAATTTTCCTGAATTCGTCTTTGCTGGTCTAGGTCAAAATTATAGATTGTATACAATATAGGACTTAAAACGCTACTCTGAGGTAATCCCAGCCTTGTTATTCTTGTATATAAAATTTGCCTATTTACTTTAAGGTTAATTATGCGATTACCATATAATTTTATTACTTTTCTAAAAAATTCTTAACTAAATCCAATTCGCAAAATTTATTAAAGTAGAATTCCTAGATTAACTTTATCGTAGGCTCCCTCAATATCCATAAAGAGAGCTATGGTAGAACGATTTATTGAGAATGATATAATATCAGTGATTAGAAGAGTAATATTTTTTATTGTGGAATAAGCTTCTCTAAACTTAAACTGATATTTTGGTAGTTTGAGGTTGGGTTCTAGCCAATATTCCATTCTTGTTTTGAGTATTCGCTCAATTGTTTTAGTGCACAGGATGCTAATGATATACCTCTGTAGGATGCTGTTAGATTTGGATCTTTTTGCGATTTCAACATTGAACTCATAATGTATTTCTTCCAATTTTCTGGATATTGCGTGGTTTCTTAAATATTATTTATTATTTCTAACAAAGTAATTTCGCAGGACAATGGAAGATTGTATACCATTATATAATGAATGTTACCGATACCAGGAGCTGCATTTTTGTACTTTTTTATACTGTTCTGCAATTCTTTAAGACTAAATTTCTTTAATAGACTGTCCATTGCAATTTTATTGATATTTTCCACTTTAAGATCGTAAACTGTTTCTTCTCTTTCAATACATAGTGGCGTGACTTGGTTTATAAAGGTTGTTGTCGACTCCCCTGCTACTTTACTGACTGGTTCTTTATAATTATTTTTTAATTTTCTAACCTCTATCCGTATTTGTGTAATTTATGTATTTTAATTTTTATTGAAGTACAAAAATTCCTCCAATATTCTTTTTTGCCCTTTTTATGAGTTTTTACACAAATGTATTGTTCTTTGTAGGCAAATATAATTTTCTGCATTTGAGTTTAGTTTAAATCGCAAAAGATCATCTTTTTGAATATTCATTAATATGTCGCAATCTTTATTCCACCAATGTTTTTGAAATTTCGAATTGATCACTTTTTCTCTTTCGGCATATAATTTTCTGCTACTTTGTTTAATTCTACTATAAATGTATCATATTCTTTTATATTATTTTGATTAATAATGTGACATGGTGACTAAATTCAACCGAGACTTATTAACCCCTTTTTAGATTTTAGTTTTCCTTTAGTTCAATTTTTGGTACAGTTGTTATTATTTTGATTTTAAAAATATATCCATTTATTATATGCTAATATATTTCTCAAACAATGTGTGTTTGTTTATTTTTTATATTAATAGGGTATAGTTACATATATATCCTGCTATAGTTACATATATACGCATATTTAAAAGGATTTACAGGCTTTTTAATCCACATCTGGATGCATATTCTACGAACCTTAAATGCTTAATAATCCCACTATCTAGTTTCTTATAGTACCTATCTTTTTTATACTATTTTTTACATAAGCATAAATATTTGTTTGTCGTATTTGCTTATTTCTTAATTTTTCTGCTAATTTTCAATCTTAATACCTTTAGTTCTCTTAATAAATTCTTAACACTGTATTTTTAGATCAGAGTCAGCAACCCCTATCACTACGCTGACTGGAATGCTATGAATATCCTCATCGGAACCAGAAGAGTAAACATGGTAAGCATTTTACCACAATATACCGAAGCTTCAGAAGAGATTAGAGAACTACCACTTAGTCAAAGGCAGTGTCTGTATCCAGACGAAAAAGACCTTATTTATTTTAAGGTTTATAATTTTCGTAGTTGCTTAGTGGAATGTAGAATGAATATTACAAGAGAAATGTGTAACTGTACCCCACACTACTACTTACCTGATAATGGTAAATTGTTTTTGTATTACAGAACATATGTATATACTAATTATTATTTTTTAGGAAGAGACCCTAGTATCAAGGTTTGCAATCTACTGGACATACCATGTTTAGCGAAAATAAATGGTTTGTATTAATTTTTGTATCACATAAGTATAGATCTAAAATACATATAAATGCAAGTTTGACTACAAAAAATAAGATATAAATTACAAATGTTTGATAGTCAACCATGGATTTATTAGCGAAAACCCAGGAAGAAATAAAAAGGCGATTGTTAGGAACAGGCTTAAAGGGCGGAAAACGTAACGAATGGATAAGAATTTTACGACGGTTAAAGATGTCATAAAAAAGCGACAAACATAAAGTGGAAATTTTAAGGCCCTAACATCAGGCAGAACAACGATAGATAGAACAAAGAAGTGCTGTACTTCTTTTGAAATTGGAAATAAAAAGGGTTTTAGATAGATAGATTGCATCACTTGCAATATTTCAATATTATAAGTTTAATACTGTAGTTTAATAATATAATTCAGCATATTGTAAAAAAGAGAGAGTGATAAGTTCATTTATACCAGAGACATATTCTTATTTAAGTGGTCGTTAAGCCTAATCATACGCTTGTAAGATATGATAGGTATATTAAAAATATTTTGTAATATATAAGTCATCGGAAAAAACGGAATACAAAGATTGTGAACACAGGGGATTGTGAACACAACAGGTTGTGAAGTTGGCATTTAATTAACACATTTAAAGTCTTAACATACGACCAATAATCCCTTATTATTTTGTTAGAATTATTAATAAAATACGAAAATATATTCTACTCGTCCGCTTTTCGTTGAGAGTCCCGCTAAAACAAACACACTTCGATATTATTTTACCGCCAATTCTCCTCTTCTCTTAATTTAAAAAATTATCATTTTCACGACCACAATTGGTCATAAATGATTTTTTTTCGTACCAACCGCTTTGCTAATTCGTTACAACAAGTTATTTGTCTACCTAGAACTGGGTCAATACCGTTTACTTGTTCTCGGAACTTGTAAAGGGGCAATAAAATTTCTAGTTTTATTGTTTTATTTTTCTTCGTAAATGTATACAAAAGTGGCTTTTTAGAACCAACCCTTTGATACATGTAAAGTTTGTTAAAACCGTTAAAAGTTAGCTGTTTTTTTTTCCCTACAAAATACTGAATTCAGGTGGCATTCAGAGACTTCATCTTCGTTCCTCAAATAGGATAGTTCTCGCTCGCACCAGACTTCGTTGTCGTACCTGACATACTCTACATATTTAGCCAGCTCCAAGGTCTGGCCCGCTTCTTATGTTGTAGAAAGAAGACAGTTCACAACAACAGGTATTTATTAATTAAGCCAGCCACTAACTTTTACCTATAATAATAATGATTTGAGATTGTGAAAATAAAGATTGATTGTATAGATATACGTTGCAAACATGTTTCAAGAAAATTATATTTGAAAATGGTTTTTATTTATCTAGTATATAAAACTAAACATTAATGTCTAATTTGCATAGCCATTCAATTGATTCTGAGAAACATTCCACAAAGTTCTGGAGGTTTCCACGGCAGGCACAATTTAGGCAGTATGAAACACAGCGGTTTATGGTCTGTCTAGTTAATCCGCAATCGCACTGTGGACCCTCCACACGGCTCCATTTAAACAAAGAGTCAGCACATTTACTATGTCATGTACGTATGTGATTAAGCCTCGCCCAGGTGGATCAAGGCAGATTTAATCCAATGAAGTCTTGAGTTAGGGTGGATATCTGGATATACTCTAATTCTATTATTGGCATTAATCTTGTTGATCATTTCCAATGTATATCATAAATTTCACCAATTTTTCGGGTAGTTCTCAGTCGTTGGTTCTCTTTTGCGGTGTTTGGTATGTCTTGATAGATTGGTAATTGTACGTTGGCCACAACTTTCTGGTACTCTCTAGGTAATGCTCTCTTGGCTGATGTACGGCGTAGATCTGCTGGAGCAATATTAGTTCAAATAAGGAGTTATCTCATTTTGGTTGATTTTATTGTTCCAGTGATTATTCTCACGATTTAGTTAAGTTGGACATCGAATTTATTGGTATGTGCACTATATGGCTATACTGGTGTACAATATTCTGCCTCTCGAAAAATCAAAGCTATCGCAGATATTGTTTCTTTTTACAGAAAGACAGGTTTTAGTTTTGCTTATGTTAGAGCATAAGCGCCAGCTCTTAAATAAGCTACTTGTAGTTAGATCTTCATTTTGAGGTCATTATCCTGCTTCTTTACTTTTTCTTGGAAGCCAATGGCCAGTTCGTCAGCAGAAGCGATTTTTTTCGATTAGAATATCTGTCGTATAAAGGTTAAATAATGATGGAACTATCAATGAGCCTTAAGATAAGCCGTTGTTTAGTTTTTTAACGGTATTCCGTGCATTATTTATATATACCTGAAAAAGTCTGAGTAAATTGTTTATTAGCTGACAAGTTTTGAGGCAGAGTATGATTTTAATTAACTTATAAATACGGCCCTCTCTTCACACAGTAGCATAGGCAGGTGTTAAGTTTATGAATGTTATGTTATGCTAGATTTTGAAGTCTTTCAAAGCTATCCTTGATAAATGTAGTTAGATGGCAGTAGCAACTTCGTCCTTTTCGAAAATCAGTTTATTCAATTGGTACAGCAACCTTTATAGTGTTACATATTCTGTTAAATAAGAGTCATTCTAGTAGTTTATAACAACTGAGTAAGCCAATAGGTGTATAACTTTCGGGCAGCTTGTTGTCTTTGCCGGGTTTCTGGATTGCGATAATTTTTTGTTCTTTTGAATTCTGGAGGTAGCACAGCTGTAGTCACAATGTCAGTGAAGAATTTCTTAAGCCACAACCGTGTTTTTGTATGAGTGTGAACTATAAATTCAGGATAGATTCCCTCAAAGTCAGCTGCTTTTCCTATTTTGGTTTGGTTAAGTGCTAAGTGTATTTCATCTAAGACACGTGAGTATTCTGATGTTGAAATATTTCCTTTAAGTTATTTAAAATGGTAAACGATACAGAAACACGCAAAAATTATGGAATATTAGAACAATAGCGAGTGACAGTATCCATTTCTATGGATCTAACATAACAACATTTTGATTAACCCTTTCAGTACGGGGCCTTTGTTTATTGTACTTTCCTTACCGCCGGCACATTTTGGATTGTCTCTGCGCCGGATGACGTGTATAACCGTCACCGTAATAAAAGTTAAAAAAACAGTAACAAGGGAAACCATACAGTGAAAAAAATTTATTACATAAGAAGAACCAAAGATTTAAATGCTAAATATATAATAAAAAAAACTCAAGACTAAACTAAAAGGAAATAGAAATAAAAAGTTAACTTTCAAAAATCGACTAATTGGTGATAAATCTTAAAATAGGGCACTACACATAGCCCAACATCACATTCTTTACACATATAGCTGCTTTCCTTTCTTTTCTTTGGTCCTGCCTTTGTCTGGGAGCAAACTCTGCATCTCCTAGTAGCGCTTTTCTTTCCCTCTTTCCTTGGAACCAATTCCGGAAAATGCCGTTCTGTCAGTCTTGAATTCCCTTGATCAAATTGAATTGGTTGTGCCTCAATTGCTGCATATCTGAAACAAATATTTTTATTAGAAACGTTGGTTGCCAAACTTAGTGCTATAAAATACCTTTCCAACAACTGCCGAATAACTTGTAAGTGAAACTTTGCAACTGGAACCGTTCCTGCATATTGCGTCAAAAACATTGATTGGGCATTTAGTAAGGTAACATCCAACGAATGAAAGAATAGCTTGACATACCATTTGATTGACTTACGAGTGCAATCAATACTACTAATCATCATGTCTGATCTGTCGACGGCACCCATATGATTGTTATACTCTACAACGCATAGAGGTTTCTTTATGTTTTCCTTTGTAATTCTGCTTATCTTAGGAAGTGTTACAATTTGATTTTCGTACATTGTTGTCAGCATAACAACATCGCGGCGGTCTTTCCATTTAAGGGCCAACATAGTATCGCTGCTTCTCCAGTCGACTTCACCAGTTTTTAGCTTCTTTTCAAACAGCGGCATCTGTTTTCGGTTTTGTCGTACCGTGCTGCAAGAGTTCGTTGTGTTTTGGAACAGATAATTTGACAGAGATGGACTGGTATAGAAGTTATCAGTAAATAACGAAGGCCCTTTATTCGAATAAGGGCTTAATAGTTTAGCAACAATAGCTCCCGTAACACCCAGATTCTGATTTTCTTGGCCTTGTATATTTGTTGCTTTACCTGCATATATTATGAAATCTAAAACGATGCCGGTTTCGCAATCACAAAGAACGTACAATTTTATGCCAAAGCGATGCCTTTTAGTTTTTATGTATTGTTTAAAACACAACCTTCCTTTGAACATGACCATGCTCTCATCTATAACTAAATTCTTGAATGGATAAAAGTGGTTCTGAAAGTTTATTTTTAATTTTTGCATTACGTGGTCAATTTTATGCAAACGATTATTTACTTGCACTTCCTCGTTATTACAAAAGTGCAAGTAACGGCGAATTAGAAAATATCTGTCTCTTGGCATCCTTTGACGAAAAATTGCCGTATGCAATAAATTATCCTGAGACCAGTACTCCTTCATTTCTAATTTCTTGACGCGTGACATCAACATAGTTAGTGCAAGAAAAACATACATTTCTGGAAGATTAACATTTTTCCACTTTTTAGCATTCTGTTGGGTAGCGTACCTGTTAGTTTCCATCACAATTATATTTACTATTTCTTCCGAGAACAGGCTCACAAAAAAATCTACTTCTTTTGACTCTGGAGTTAGGCTATTACTCTTCAAACCACTTTCACTTTGGTCAAATTCGTGTATTCGAGGAACAAATTCGTTCTTGGTCCAAATTAATTTCTGTTCGCGTCGCTGCAATATAGCTTCCACATCCTCTAGTTCCTCATTTTGTATTATTTGTTCGGGCTCGTCTTTTTCGTCGATTGAAGAGACTTCAGAAATAACACTTTCACTTTCGGAATCAGGGTGGTATTCACTGCCGCTGTTCTGAAATGGCTTTTCTTCACTAAGGTATAAATCATCCCCATCCGTAACGTTGAGAA